ATGATTGCAGGTGAAGGGGCCCTTTTACTGCATATCTCAGCAGAAAGGCTCTGTCCCGACCCCAAAGAGCTTCCAGGTTACAGCTGAGGTCTGTACAGCACCTAGCACAAAGGGGTTGTGGTCCTTGACTAGAGCTCCTTGGTGCTCCAGTAATAGAAATAAGAATTAATAATCATGTGACAGGAGTTGGGGAGTGCATGGAGTGAGGAAGGGCCAGGGTGACAGCAGTATCATCACCCTCCTGGGGCAACCATCACTAAGAATAGGGGATTCTTTTAATGACGCACAAGCTCATCCAGGTCAGTTCTGCTCTTGGGTAAGAAGAAAGTCCCTGATAGGTGAAAAACATTTGTCTGTCAGCCTGACCATAGGAATCACCCCAGGGATTGAGAAAACCACAATCACAGAAATGTGAAAGATCTGGTTCACTATTAAATCACACCAAGTGCATCCCATCTTACCCCTCTCAGCCAGTGTAGGATTGTATCCTAGAGTATTATCCAGTGCTTTGTGCAGGCCAGTTTTAAAACCCCCTCTCCCCTTTAGGAGACTAATGCACTAATACATCTTTCCACAGCCCTTTTCTCCCCTGGCCCTTCACATGTATGTAGAAAAACAATCTCAGTTCCTTCTCACCTACTCGGGTCCCAGCAGGGGGAGTCACTCACTCACATACAGAAGTCTCTGCTTCCTGCAATCCAATAGATTCAGATCAGTCACAATCAGAGTCCAGAGGAAATGAGGGGAACGGAAGAGGAGACAGTGATGGAGCCAGAGGGGAGGAGTCAGGGGAGGGAATTCCCAGCCTCCAGCTGGTGTCAAAATTCCATGAGGGGAGGCTGTCAGTTCAGGAAATCCCACCCCACAAGCATGTCACTTAACAGAGGAGGTTTTTCTCAGACTGTTTTGCTTACTTCTCACTCCTCTAGTAAGACACTGCTTGTCTCTATTCACTGTGCTGTTTCAGGATTGCTAATGTCTCCTGATGCAGTCAGGGTCATGTTAAAACCAAGCAGTAAAAGTGCATACTCAAAAAAGGCAGCAGAAAGGTTTAAAGAGCTTGTTTTGGTGCAAACAAGTTGGTTTCCCTTTTCTTGCCGGTTAAAAGCGACAGCCCTGATGGCTGTAAACTGCTGATTCATTGGACATAGGAGTCCAAGAGCAGTTCTGTATTGTGCAGATTCACAGATTTTAAGGTCTGACTTCCTGCAGAATACAGGCCACTGAACTACCCAGTAGCTCCTGTATAGAGCCCAATAACTTGTAGGACAGAACTTATCTGTTTGGACACTCACAGTGGCATGGTGCAGAGTTAGAATTTCAATTTGGAGATGCAATCAGGGAGGCAGGGATGAATGAGCCTTATGCTTTTGATCCAGTGCAGGCAGAAGAACTGGAAGCAGACGAGCTCTCTGTGCAGAGACAGACAGAGAACACATAGTGCAAAGCAGAAACACTAAATACATCTGAAGGCTTGGGAGGAAAACTTCAGCAGGCAGCAGTGTGTGTGGTGGGGAGAAAGCAGCAGAGGGATGCTGTGTATTTGCGTGGAGGGAGGTTGGTGGAATAGCAGGAATCCAGGAGTCCGAACTCCTGGCCTCCTCTGCTACAAATACTAGAGAACTCCCACTGGATGCAGGAATGGAACAAAAGAGTCCTGACCACCAGACCCCTGTTCTAACCACTAGATAATTGTTCCCCACAGCACTCCCCACAGAACCCAGCAGTCCCCACTCTATCCCATTCGAACACAATCCCTCTAGATAGTGGCAGCAGAATCCAATAGTCCTGATACACTTGCTCCAAACACTATATAGCTCTCCATCACTGTGCTTGGAACAGAATCAAGGAATCCTGACTCCTACTTCCCCCCACACCCCAGGCTCTAACTACTAGATCACACTCCCCAAGGGCTGGCAATAAAACCTAGGATTGGGCCTAGGTAGGTTTGTAAACTCTGTCAGATGAACAGCTGCACCTAAGAGTTTATAAGCTCTGCTGGCACGTACAAGAGGCCCTGTATATGAGCAGCCATCCCATGCCAACGGTTCACTGTACCACTGATGAGCACTCACTCTCCTCTCAGCCCAGACACACAGACAGATGGTAATTAGTGTCAGCCCTTTCCATAGGGCTGTTCTTCTGTCCTGGTGTAGATGGCGACAAGATAGAGTATCAGAACCAGTGACACAGTAGCTCCAATCTTCAGGAAAGACAGAAAGAGGATTAAAAATAATCTGAGAGTAGCCCATGGCCTTCCCTTTCCTCTGTTCACTTGTCCCAACCCCATAATAGTCATTCTAATACATGGTCATTAACAATAAGTGTACTAATAAATTATAATAAATCAAAGAAAACAGTAAAGATAATAACTAGTCTAGAATAACAGACAAGATTAAAGTGATGGGAAAGATCAGAATGAACAGTAAATACCTTACTAATATTAAATTGTTACTAAGAAGTATAATTGCTAATGGTGAGCAATAAAAATAATGAGGGTAATTCTCAGAATAATTAATAGCTCTTATTTCTACTGGTAATGTCTCCTTCATTCAAAAGTAAAATGTCATTTACAACTACTCTAATAATCCTAATAAATCATTAATGATCACAAATAGTAAGACAAATCTGGCTAGTTTCCCAGGCAGTGAGGAAGCTCTGGGCCCCATGCGGGGATGAGGCAGCTCTGGCAGAGCTAGGAAAGAAACAAAGCAAAACACTGACTCAACAGTTCCTGGGACTCTGGGGCCGTGGGGTTCGTGCACTGAAACCCTGCACTGTAACAGGGACCAGAGAATCTTTAGCCCCAGTAACAGTCACACTTGTAGTTACAGCAGCTAATGTGGGATAATGGCCCTGTAACGGGTTGTGCTCACCACCGTGGCGCCGCCTGCTGATTGCTCCGGGAATTAGCTCTGTCCATCAGCAGGGTGCCCTCCTCTTGTGGTGTCTCACTCTCAGTCACTGCTTCTCCACCATCTCCGCTGTCTGTGGGGACTGGCTTCGCTCCCAGACAGCATCCTCTTCAGGGCATGGCCCTCCGGCTGTGTCCCAACTCCATTGTCTCACCCCCTTCCGGGGGAACCGACAGTCCTTCACCTGGCCTTTCATTGCAGTGGCGAACTGCAGCCCCTAGTCCATCCTTCGCTCAGGGGCAAACTGCAGTCCTTTGGCTGGCCACTTCCTTTGGCGGCCAGTGGGGCAAAGAAGGGGGGCAGGCCTACCCACTACTCTGGGTCCCACCCCGGGGACCGTCTAGTTGGCAGCCGCTCACTGCCTCTCCTTCCCCTCTGCCACTACCTGCTTTCACCTTTTTGGTGACAGTAATGTTCATCCATTTGGGTACATCCATTTGCAAACAGACTGTTAAGGAGTAAGAAAATTAAGTTTGTACAGAATAAATCTTCACAGGCAATTTGAATTACTTTTTTTAAAGTAGAAGTTCAAAATTAGTGGATGAAATAAATGCAGCAGAGATCATGTATTTAGATTTTTTGAAACAAAAATTATATTGGATTTCATGAAAACTTAATTACAATGTCTTAGACAAAAATATTATCTTATGGTTGGAAGACAGGCTAAAAGACCATAAACAAAAGTAATGATAACCAGTACCCAGTAGGGTACCACAGAGATCAGTGCAGAATCTAGTCTTACTTAAAATTTACATTAATGATCTGGAAAGGGGAGTAAACATCAGGTTAGCAAACCTGGTAGATAATACTAAATAGGGAATAGCTGCACATGGCCGTGCAGAAAGAGAAAAAAACATTAAGGGAGCTAGAGAGAAGAACAAGAAGAAAATAACAAAATGAGATTTGGCATATAGTTATCATGTACCACCTTGTTGCATTAGCCCAGCTATATATATTTAGCTCTTTTAAGCCCCGATTTGGAAAGGTGTTTAAAATTAGGTAGGAGCTTAAGCACCTTGCTGAACCAAGGCCTTAGCCTTTTCTCATAGATCAGTCTCTCCAATCCCTGATATTTTTTCTCTTTGCTGAACTCCCTTCCGCTATAATGTGGTGCTCAAAGCTGGATGCAGTCTTTCAGGTGTGCTTGAACAACAGCTGTACAGAGAGGAACTCTCTGCTCCATGCCTTTGTTTATGCTGCTCTAAACTGGCCTTTTTTACTACTATATCACCTTGCAAGGTCGTGTCTAGATTGTTGCTCCCTCTCACCCCTACTGCCCATTATATATTTGTTTCAGATTTTTTTTCACATGCATTAGTTTGCATTTTTCCAAGCTGATTCTTATTTGGTTAGTTTACGACCATGTTTCTAATCTCTTTAGGTCCCTGTGATAGGTCTTACCCCCCATCACCTGCCAGGCTAGCAAATGCACCCAATTAGTCAGGCTTTGCACCTGTCATGGGGCTCTCCATGGAACTCTCCCATTGCCATAGGTATATCTTCACTAAAGTGCTACAGTGGCACCGCTGCAGCTTTTTAAGTGTAGATCTGCCCTCAGTCAGCACCTGTTTAGATCTAGAGTAATTCCATTAACTCTCAGGGAGTTATTTTGCATTTACATAAATGTAACAGAGCAGAATTTGCCTGTTCTAATGCAAAAAAATCATTTTAAAACAGGAAAAATGGTATAGCTGTTTCCACCAGTGGTTCTCCAGCTGTAACCTATGGAGAGCAGGCTGGGCACATACATACATGCTAAGTTCTGTGCAGCTCCACATGGAACACTTCTCAACAGTGAGAAAAAGTCACTGATTTCCCCTTCGGGGGTTCCCCAAATAGGGTTACCACCTTTGAAATGCAAAACCCCCGGCACCCCTCTGCCCCCCGCAAGGCAAGCCGGCCGCAATTCCAACCCCCAACCATAAGGCAACTCTGCAACCCTCCACTTCAACCACTAGAGAGATCTAGAGACAGTATCTAGGGAGATA